GGGATTTGGTAATGGTAATGATGGACGACGAAGGGTAGTGAAATCATTTATTTGTGGACCTGCCTTCATGCAGAGTACCATTCATTATTATCATTATATATATATAAAGAAGGAGCTTGGTATTATGTTAGGTATTCTAAGGCTCTAAAATGGGTGCACGGATTTTGCCAGTCTTAGTCTTGAAAAATCCGTGCTAATCCAGAGATTGTGCAAAAGGTGAGATATTACTTCAAAACCACGAAGAAACTTTACATTTTGAATTTGAATATTTTTGTAGAAGCCAAATTTGTATGAAACAAAGGAAAGCGGCTGATACGTCAAATATCAAATGTTTTTAACAGACGATGTTCAATTATATTTAAGGGGATGTCCATTAATCACGTGAGGTTTATAAGGGGAGGGGGAAGTTTGACAAAAAATCACAAAATATCACGTGTGGGAGGGGAGGGGGTATGGTAAGATATAACGTGTATTTATTTTTTTAACTGATTTTTTTGAAAAAATTCAAACATTTTCAAAAAAAGAATCAAAAACTTTTGTTTTTTCACGTAACTAAAAATACACGTAATGTTTGATGGGGGAGTGGAGCGGGTTAATTTTGAATATCACCACTTATTACCAAGTGGGAGGGGGGCGGGGCAAAAATCCTTAAAAACTAGATCACGTGATTAATGGACGCTCCCTAATATAATGTTTTAGGTTAATATTATTTAATTGTGCGAGCTTCTTTACTATGTTTTAAAATATTTCATTCCAGAAGATTTGCAGTGAGTAAACCATCCATTCAATTTGTGTTAGTTTCCTCTTACACCACACATTTCCACATCCATAATCAGTTAATTATTTTTTATACTGAAGATTTTCTAGAAATATTTTTTATGGCTAAACAATCTTTGTCGGGCCAGCTAGTATACAATATATAAATATATATATATATATATATATACTAGCTGGCCCGGCAAACATTATTCAGCCATAAAAAAATATTTCTAGAACATCTTCAGTATAAAAAATATATATTATAAATTGGACTTATTACTCTTATTACCTGTGCTATAAATAGTAAACGATTTTAACTATATGCAGTATAACACAGTCTTAAAATGATAAACCACTCCATTTGCATATAAAATTTCTGATCCAAAAAAACTTGATCCAATATATGGATTGCTCAAAAAAACTCAATCATTCAATCATCATCATACTCAAAGAGGCGTCCTTGATATGCCAACATCAGTCCATCTTCGAGACCATCATTCATTCGAATTGAAAGAATTCGATTCAATTGAAAGACTAACGAAAGTGATCGATGGCAAATAATAAAAGCGATCATAAAGGAAAAAATTAGCTTGAAAAAAATTAGAACGGTTTTTACGAAACCGACTGACGGCCGACGCCATTCGGAAATAGAATAGATAGTTTCTTTTATGAATATTAGAATAATAGTAAGTTAAAATACCCTTTATAGAAAATCCGTGATGTATATAACTGTTTTTAGATAAAACGATCTCAAATTGAAATGATATAAACTTTTTTATTAGATTTGTGACAGTTTGATAGCGGCCATTTTTAAATTTTGACTTATTGGCACAAGTTTTATATTTTAGCACATTTTTATTATAAATGTATGAATAACTAAATAACTCTTAACACTTCACATGTAAACATAAACTTATTTCACTGCTTTTTTAAAAAAATATATATATTTATATAAGAAATATAATTGAACTTTTATATTAAATTTGTAACATAACAGTTATGATTGCGGCCATCTTTGATTTTAGCACAAGTTGCGTTCAAAAGTTTACGGCAAATATCCTTTTTTTATCCATAAATTAATGGTATTTTTAGTCGTTATATAAACGGACACATATTGATATATAGTTCAAAATGAAATATATATAATATGTAATATATTATATTATATTATATCCCAAATTAAAGTTTATAATATTAACTTATTATTATCCCAAATATCCTACATATGCGACGCGCCTTACAAAAACCCACCCTTAGGGTACAAACTCACTGAGACTATTTGTCAGTTTGAAAATTTCTACAATTTTTTTTATGTCTGATTCAAATTAATGAAGTGTTTAGGTAAAATCTATACACCATATGAAAAATAAATGCTCTTTCAAATTGTTTCAATTATATTCAATTGTCAGATTATTTGCAAACTACTTGTTTATAACTTTAGAAAAATCCTTAATTTTTAGTAAAATACAATATAGAAGCCTTAAGCAAAGTTAAAAATTGCATACGTCTTTTATTATATCACTTTACTATTTATTCCTTCGTTACAAGGCTTGACATTTATATGTTAAAAACTATTAAACTCATATAAAAAAATAAAAGCAACGTTCTTAATGTTTATAAATATTTTCAAAGCTAAACTTTATATAACTTCTAACTAGTTTATTTTGAAAATAAAGTGTATTAAGCATGATTTTCTTAACGGGGTAACTTCATATATAGTACAAAAGGCAGGAAGGGGTTTGAAAAATGATCACAAAATATCACATGGAAAAGGGTTGGTTGAAAACGATCATGTAATTAATGGACGACATGTAGTATAAGTATAAGGTCTATGACGACCCCTAATATGGCCATTAGTGATGTAAAAGTATTACAAATACATTGCAAAAGATAAAAGACATATATTATAAACTAGCGGTTTATGGCATCGTGCCTTGAGGCAAATTGCTAGAACTTTCCGCACCAAAATGTTTATTTTTAAAAAAGATTCAAATTTTTTTCAGAACTTTGAAATTTTATACTTTGAAATATTTTAGAAATTTTGAACTTTTTTTCCAAAGCAATCGCAATACGTTAGCTGCATAAATAAAATATTAAAGCGCGCGAGCGTCGCGTTGCAATCAAAGGGATAAACATTGGTACGGAACCCATAGAAATGTTGACAAAATTTGTTTTTGTTATTAAAATCTCTATAAAATATCTGATAATTTGATGTACACATGTGTAATGATCATTTTTGTTTGCTAAACCTGCCTACCCATTTATTTTTCTTTTTAATTACAATATCTTCTACAAATGCTAAATAATATACCATCTAGTAACATAAGTGAATAATAACATAAATATAAATAAAATAGAGTACAAAATGAAGGATAGTATTTTCATTAAAATGATATCCGAATTATGATAATACCCAAAAATTGAATCAGTTCATTTTGGTAAAACAAATAAAATCTTTTTTGAATTATTCAAACCGGACGCTCCGTTCTTTCAAAAATTTAATTATCATTTTTGGCACTTTTCGTCCCGCCAGAACCTGCCTTTGCCAAAAACTAATCAGCACGTCTCCTTATCAATGCGAATCGAATGTTTTATGAATTATTCAAATCGCTTCATCCGTGTTCCCGAAATCGTCAACGAAAATTTGTATCCGAACACACATACACATACACGCATTTATACACACACACATACATCCATTTTTTCTAAGGTATGCCAAAATATTCAGAAACCTCTGAAACGTCAAGATATATAAAAATTTTCATTTTCGATTTTTTTGCGATTACTATAACTTACCCTACGGGAAGTTAATAAGTATTAATTGTACTATATGTAGTTCACAGGGCTAATGTGCAATTAGTGATGTAAGGTTTGCACATAAATCGCAATACAAGAGCACATAAAGCACATAGAGCACATAGGTATGTGTCTATATGATAGCAACAAACAACAAACAAATAAAATGCAAAGCAGAGCAGATACAATTTTGCGTAATCGTTTCGGTATAAATAGAACGTCTTCAGTACCGAGACTCATCAGTCATCAGTCATCAGTCGTTACGGTACAACAAAACATCATAGTGCAAAAAACTATATTAATATTAATAACGATATTAATATTAATATTAATAATAATACAAAAGAACGATATTCGGCGATTACACTAACGGATTATTAACGGTAACGGTAACGCACGCACCAAACGCACGTGTTTTTATTTTAACAAATTTTTATAAAATATGTTGCAAATATAAAAAATAAAGCTTTCCAACACCAATTAAACCAGATTTAAAAAAATTGAATTAAATTGTGTTTAAGAAGTTTTTTTTAATAAGCATCTTGTCCCAGTTTGACTCTTCTTTAGTGCATAAAACAACAAAACCAAAAATGAAAAATAATATACCAAAAATATTATCTAGTAAACTGAAAATTAGAATATTATTAAAAAAAATTTATAAACCTATCATAAAAAGTAGGAATAAAAATATAGTGAAAAAGGTTTTTCACATTTTTTATTTGTATAACTTTTTCAAAAGTAGTTTATCTTATTGTACAATATTTTTATTGATTATTTTATAAATATTAATTATTTATTCTCTTATGTTTCATATTTTGTTTTGTAGATTAATTCATTGAAGTAGAGGTAATCCGGGACCAAAAAAAGTATAATTTATTAAAAAAATTTATTTTATACAAAATTTGGTTTTAATTTTCGAAAAACTGTCTGGACGTCTGTTGAAAAACTGTATACCAAATATATATATTGAAACAAATTTTAATAATTACTTTGTACAAAATTGTGTTAGTTTCAAAATTATATCTGAGAGTTGAAAAAAATATCAATAAGCAAGCGGCTGTATAAATATTTTATGGTTCAAAATTTTATTTGTCTGCACTCCTTTTTTTCCAAAAAATATTTTTTTTATTTTTGAGTGTTTTCTTTCTTAATAACTGTTAGAAGCATTTTTTTGTTATTTGATTGTGACCAAAACGTTACAAAAAAATAACTTCAAGAAACAAACAAATATAATATTTCATTTCTCACCTAGTGAATATAATAAAAAAAAAGTATGAGTATGTGAATAGTGTCTTTAACCTAAGGTCAAGGGCAGACATACAAAAAGAGTCTCTTCTGTTATGTAAAAAACTATCTACAAAAAATATGGGTACCCACCTTTGGGTCATGTGTCTCATACGGGATCCTTCCAAACAGGGCTTGACTGTTTCCAATATTTTTCAGAAATGTTCACCCCCACGATACTCCTGATCTCGACGATCGCCCTGGCGGCTTGTGAACCGCCAGTATCGAATTACCTGCCTCCAAACCAGCAACTGCACACGTCCGCCGTCTTCTCAAAACCTTCTCAGAACTACGGCACGCCCAGGTAAGCCAAACTCACCTGAAGTAACAGAAAAGTAGCAGTTATTAGCTTATGTGGGAATTTATTGCAGTTTATCGAATCAATACCTGGCTCCAGAAAGTTCCCAAAGGTCGCCTTCTTCAAAATACGGAGCGCCTTCAGCATTCGATGCTCTGTCTAACCAATATGGAGCTCCAAGCAACCAGTATCAGGCGCCTTCTTCTAAATACGGTGCACCAAATGCTCCATCATCATCGTACGGAGCTCCTTCATCCACTTTCAGCGCCCCATCTAATCAATACTTAGCCCCATCGTCTAAATACGGTGTTCCCAGTGCTCCTTCACCAACATACGGAACACCTTCCTCAAAATACGGTGCCCCAAGTGCTGCATCAACAAAATATAGTGCTCCATCATCAAAATACGGAGCTCCTTCTTCAACCTACGGTGCTCCAAGTGCTCCATCCTCAAACTACGGAGCCCCAAGTGCTCCGTCCTCAAAATACGGAGCTCCAAAAGCCCCATCTTCAAATTATGGTGCTCCTTCTTCGACCTACGGTGCTCCAAATGCTCCATCTTCAAACTATGGTGCTCCTTCGTCTTCCAGCCGCTCCCTCTCTACATCATATAGTGCTCCATCATCAAAATACGGAGCGCCATCCAACCAGTACAGTAGTGCTCCATCCAGTTTATATGGTGCTCCTTCTAATCAATACTTGGCTCCTTCTTCAGGAGGTTACAATAGTGGTAGCAGTGGATACAGTCAAGGAGGATACGAAAGAAATGTAAGTAGAAGTGTAATGGTAGGAGTTATCTATAGGATGAAGGAATTTCAATGTTTTTCTTCTACCAGGAACCTGCACGTTACAACTTCCGCTACGACGTAAACGACCAGTACAGCGGAAACGATTTTGGACATGAGGAATCACGAGATGGTGACCGGGTTGTTGGACAATACTACGTCTTGTTGCCCGATGGCAGAAAACAAGTAAATACAATAAATTTAATCCAATAACTGGTGGAAAGAGCTTTAGTTATACATTTAACGATAATTTACTTTCTAGATTGTGACTTACGAAGCCGACGAAAACGGTTACCGACCAAAGATCTCGTACCAGCAAACAGGCTACGGTAAAAGTTCTGGTTCGTCGGAGGGCTACCAGTATTGAAATTAACAAGTATAAAAATATCACCAATCCATCCATATCGACAACTGACCAACGATCGCATTTATAATTAATGTTTGTAAATAGTCATGTATTAGGTATTAGGCTAGGTTTAGGGATAGATGTTGGAGGTCCTGGAATCATCGGGAACCTGCCGTCGACATTGCCATAAAAAACAGCTTTAGCGAAAGATAAAAGTATTAGCATTTCCGGGGGTAAAAAAATATTTATGACAAACTAAATCACATAAAAAATATATCTTCTCAGGAAATAATTCGGGAAAGGACCAAAATCAGTAGAGAATAAATACTAATTCCTGAGAATGAAGTCGCACTTCTGCAACAACTTTCACTTCGATGAGATAAAATACGCCTTAATACATTACGGACAAAATACAGATGAAATAATTTTTCTATAATACATTTTGCTCAAGAAAAGATGAATTTGTTGCTTTATAAATAAATTACAATAAAAATCTTCTCAATTGAATTCACATATTGGTAATGGATAAATAAATTTCAAAATTATTTACTCGGAAATGCAAAATTTATAAAACAGTATTAAAACTGTATGTGTATAATACAAAATAGTTTAATAACTATAAACTATTAGTTTTAAGATTTTTGTATAATTATAATATATAATATAAACAAATGATAAAAACAAAAATACTCAAAGGGCAAGATTTAAAAAATGGTAAATAAAAATGTGAAATAATAATAAAACTTTGTTTTATTTAAATTAAGGAATATATATATATATATATATATTCCTTAATATATACAAATATATATTATTTATATGCATTCAAAACGTTGTCGAATTTTAGGAGGGGTGTATAAAGAAAATATAACTGAATTTATATTTAATGCATAATTACATTTATTTAAAATTAATATATTCATATTTATATTTATATATTTATAGCAGTATATATATATATATAAATATATATATATATATATATATGAGATTGATCGACTGAAAGTGTTCAATAAATTTATTAAATGATTATTTGTACTCGTTTATGTCGAGACATATAAATAAATATTATTTCAGTCGATAAAATTCTCAAATCTTTACTGTCTTCATGCTTTGTTCCTAAGATCTACATTTTCAAATCTCTTAGACTATTCGAAAAGTTCATGTTTTCGCTTAAAATACTTTCTTTTTAGCAAAATGACTAAAAATTTTATAGTACTTATTAGTTTAGTATAATTTACAGTATGTATGGCTCGATACAAAAATTGATTATTAATGATATATTTATATTCCTTTCCAATGAGTTCTATATATTATTTCATGGTTGATATTCAAATACAGTAAAACCCTGTTAAGACGATTATGATTAATATGATTTCTCAATTCCAATTTACACCACATATCTCATATCATATTAAGAAAAAATTGAGATGCTGAAAGTTTTCGATAAAAATAAATAACAAACTCAACCAGCTGCTGAGCTTCACCTACCATTGTGAAAAAACAGGGAATAAATTTACTTGTGTGTAAACAAAAAACCAAAATATAGGTAAAAAATTTAGATAAATCCAGAGACGTAGCTACCAGCCGTATCAATTATCATAAAATCTGAAGCCATCAACTGTATATGATTAAATCACTTTGACAATAAAAGGCAGTGTATATTCAATTTGAATTGTTAAAGAGTAACAGATAGTTAATTATAATGATATTTTATTATTCTTTTTTTAATCTATGAGAAATTTTCACTGTCCTAAGGGTCTCCAAACAAATTTTTATGAGACCCCGCCAAGGCATCACCCTACGTTTCTGGTTAAGTGGCTTCAATAAAAATTAGTCTTAAATCTGCCTTAATAAGTGGCCCCAAAATATAAAGCATGCAATTGCTGAAGACTTAAAGATTGATTTTAATGTATCAAATGGCTGAATAGATAAAATTTGCAAGGGCATTTCATGTAGTCAATGAAATCCCTGGAAAATCGCCAATAGAATTGGTACAACAAGAAGTTGATATTTGATTGGCAACACTTCAAAAATTGCTGTAAATTAAGCCCAATATTTTTAAAAATGAACAATTTGTCATGTTGGTAAGCCAGTGGGCACAAGTCAGGATGGTAAGCCAGTCTATTTTCTTGTTTTACCATAATGACAAATTGCTAATGCATCAATTTTTCTTTCCAAACTAAAATAAGTGATTATTTTAAATAACGCTGTTTTAATTACAATACTAATTATTTAATGTAATTCATAAATGTATAATTTATTACCTACATTAATCAAAATTAGCACATATTACATATGTACGTTATTATCCCCATCTCACATAATAACCCTGAAAAATCATCCGAACAAGATTTTACTGCACATTCATGATTTGTTGTACTTCAACATATGCCCATTCTTATGACAATATATCCTTATGAATAAAATATTACACAAAATAAATAATGCACATATGCACAGAAAATAATAACTTATGAATACGACTCTAACAATTCATTTAATTATTCATTAAAATTTTATAACATTTAGGATAAAAATTTATATTAAAACTTTTTATACATGCTACTCTATACAAATAAAACAATGTTTGTACATAAGCGATCATCTCGATCAAGTTTGTGAATAAAAATACAAAAAATATTTCCTAATAAAATTGTGCAAAAGAGGAAAAATCTTTAGTCGAAGAAAAATCTTTAGAAAAAGTTACCATATATATTGAGAAAGTCTAATAATCTATACATATAAAATCCATACGTTTTGGCTATAGTCCTAGCCTTCATTTAATGGAGATAAAACCAAATTTAAGACTAAAATATCAACAATAGTGTTTTGGAATTAAAAGCAAAAAAGTGAAAAACACCTATAATTTACATAAATCATCCTGCATTAATATTATAGAATATCCTATAACATAAATCCTTATCAATCCTATTTTTAATATTAGAATAAGCAAATTGTAAGTACTTTTCTCTTTTTCACTTTATAATTTCGCTGAATGAAGGCTAGGACTAAAGCCGAAACGTGTGGATTTTAGAATAAATTTTTAAAATAATTTATCTTTTTCTATTGAAGCCATGCCCCATTATTAGACTCTGTCAATACATATGTGAACATTATTAGAAAAAATCCATTGTCTAAAAATACATCAAAAATATGTACAAAAAAAGCATATAGTACAAGTGAGTTCATCCAATTATGCTCTGAATCAAACTTTAAGTCATCATATATGAATAGGTACATGTACCAACAATTCAGATCTTGTTGTGAAACTTTCACTGCACATCTCACATTTAAAGATACCAATCTCATCACCATCATATTCATCCTGATCCAAAATTTCCTCTTTGACAACCACATCTTTAAAATCTGTCACCACGCTTCTCCTATTACCACTGACTCTAGCAGTATTCCTGACACTCCTTCTGACTGCAGACCCTGCTGTAGATTGATTCACTGATGCTGGCCGCTTGACATCCTTCTTTTTCTTTACAATCTCTTGATTCACTTGCTGATTCATCTGTTGATTCACCTGCTGAATAAACTGCTCTTCTTGTCCATTATTGTTACTGGACTCCGAATTGAATTTTGGTCTGATTGGACTTTGCAGAATCTGCTCTAGATCATGCACAAGGTCCGAATTAAATTTTTCGATGCCTTTGATGTCTTTTAGGGGACTGTCCATGTTCTGAGTGGTCGTCGTGATGTCTACCTCATTCGAGACAGGCGGAGGCGACGTCTCAAAACTCTGCATATCAGGATCGGGTTTAATTTTTATCGGAGTAGTCATAGACAGAATATTCTCCAAGTCGCTCTGGAGTTGTGCATCAGGAAACACAGCAGGCTGCGGTCTCTCGGCTTGTAAGACGTGGTAATTAACATTCTTAGTCCTCGGTCTATTCCTCTCGGACTTATAAGAATGAAGGACAGGCTGGGTAACTACAGACGATGCCGTCGTCCTGGTGATCAAAGTCTTAGTCTTCTTTTTACCTTCTTGGTCAACTCTCGTTTTGGCCGTGTGGATCATCTTGGGTCTAGAGGACTGTGCCACTTGTTGCGCCAATTCTTTTTTCTTTTTAGACTTGTTGGCTTTCATATCTTTGACGAGAGTACTGAAACTTTGCATAACAGTTTCGAAACTATCGCAGACGGCCTGGTAGCCATCGTCGTTGTTGGTGGATGTAGAATTCGAGTTTTTCACTTTTTGCTTCTTAGCAGGAGATGCCGATCGGCGACCTGGTACATTAATAGAAAGATATTGCTGGGAGTTTGTAATATGAAGGACCATCACTACTACACAAATAAAAAACTACAAAAATAGGTGCAAAAAAACGATAAACCTAACAGCCATCGATTTATACCAAACTTTCAGAAAAACCAATGAAACTTCCAATGCTATCAACAAGATCATCTTAAACAGGCAATGCTATCATGAAGGAGGAATAGAAAAAAGCAAAGGAAGAATGAATAGGTCTTAAAAACTATCTGAAAATTGTTTATATTGTTTGAAAATGCTGTAAATCATCTGAAAATGTTGTAGATAGTCTAAAAATACTGTAAATCGTCTGAAGAATTGTAACTCAAACTGGAACTGCCATTGATACAGTTTTTGTAAAAACTATTGATATAATTGAATTAAAACATTTCATGTCTTGCCGCACATCATAATCCCATTGCAAATGCAAATCCATTTCTACCCAATCCTACTTCCAATTTACACATTACAAGTGCCACTTCTTCCACAAATAACAAAGAATATTCTTCAATACATGCAAAATTATTGTAACAACATTGAAAATACATAATAATATTTAGAATACAATTAAAAATAAATAAGTTCATAAAGCAATTAATAAAGTATTATACATACTTCAAAAAATAGTCTTGGGCTCAAAATAAAGTACTACTATTGATATATTGACATCGCAATTAGCAATAAGGAAAATACTAAATAAAATTAATAATTTAGTAATACCACTCACTTGAACTCCTTGGCGAACTAAAACTACCGGTAGCCGTGCTGGGTGATCCATAATCAGTATTGTTCTGCACTGCTGCTGTTGACATGCTCCCTCCTGATGAAGAAGGTGGTACTCTATCCAAATCTTCTAGCATTGGAGAATAATCTGAATACCTAAATAGTAATTCACACACAAATAAATATAAAATATAATATATTTTTGTCTTTGTGCTATTTGCAAAGAGAGGGAGACATTTATAGTAGTTATTAATTATTACCAGACATCACTCTCTCGTTCTCCTTCTGATTCCCTGCGCTGCTTGTCCTTGCGATGTTCACCTTTCCTAACCAGCCTATCAACCTCATAAGGCTTCAATTTCCTGCGACGTTTGTACTTTCTAGGACCAACCTAAAAAAACAAGACATGTTAAAAAAATTTATTAATTGATAGAGCATCATCTTTATATCTATTCCTCCCACCTGAGGTTGTCTTTTCATAGCAGTGTTCATATCAGAATGGTGAATCAGATGCTGAATTAAATCATGTGAGCTGGTGAAGACGTCTGAACACACTGCGCAAGCATATGGAGATGAATGATTGCCTCTGGATGTATCCGGACCACTGTGATGAGATCTGATGTGCTCTCTTAGCACCACTCGTTGATTGAAGGCTCTGGGACACACTGCACAAGCATATGGCTTTTCACCTAGAAAATTTATACAAATTGTATAATACAAACCAAATAGAAATGGATAATAATAATATTAAATAAATGTTTACCTGTGTGAATTCTTTCGTGTTTCCTTTTTGTATTATACAAATTGTATAATACAAACCAAATAGAAATGGATAATAATAATATTAAATAAATGTTTACCTGTGTGAATTCTTTCGTGTTTTCTAAGAGTGCCCCCATCAGCAAAAGCCTTCCAGCAAAACCGACAGCCATAAGGCCTCTCACCTGTGTGTATTCTTATGTGAATCTGCTGTGAACTTCTCGAACCGAATGTTTTTCCTGTAAAAATAATCTTATGTAAATAAATACTGGTACCAGATGGTATATTATAACATTATCAATGGATTTAATAATTGAAGTAAAACATCTAATACCACTTTGGCAGCAAAATGTCTAAAAGTATAATTGTAAATATTCTGAAATTGTTGAAAATAGACTGAAAATGACGGAAATTGTGTGAAATTGTGTGAAATTGTGTGAAATTGTTGTGAATTGTTTAAAAGTGTTGTAAATTGTGTAAAAGTGTTATAAAATGTCTGAAAGTGTTGTAAATTGTCTGAAAGTGTTGTAAGTTGCCTAAAAAGGTGGTTGTTGCCTAATAATTTTATATTTATAAATTGGCTGAAGATGTTAAAAATTGTATAAAAGTGTTGGAAACAATTCTGAAAATGTTGTAAATAGTCTAAAAATGTTGTACTTGATCTGAAAATGTTGTAAAATATCTGAAAATGCAATAAATGATCTAAAGATGTAATATTTTGTTTAAACTGTGTGGAAATTTTTTAAATCCAATTGGAATTGCCATTAATGCAGTTTATGCAAGAACTATTAAAATACAACTCAATTTACAACACTTACAGACAATTCATAACATTTTTGAACCATGTAAAACATTTTTAGACAATTTACAACATCTTTAGACCATTTAGAACATTTGCAGACAATTCGCAACATTTTTATACCATGTACAACATTTTTAGACAATTTACAACATCTTTAGACCATTTAGAGCATCTGCAGACAATTCACAACATTTTTAGACAATTTACAACATTTGCAGACTATTCTCAACATTTTTATACCAAGTACAACATTTTTAGACAATTTACAACATTTTTAGGCCATTTGCAACATTTTCATACCAAGTACAATATTTTTAAATAGTTTACAACATTTTGAGATAGATTACAACATTTTTGGACTATTTACAACATTTGCAAGCAATTCACAATATTTTTAGACCATATCAAATAGTTTTAGAACATTCACAACATTATTAGACCCTATAAAACAGTTTTAGAATATTTACAACATTTTTAAACCATGTACGGCATTTTAAAACCATGTACTATATTTTTAGACGATTATATATTTATTTGATATATAATAGCTATAAATGATCTAAAGATGTAATATATTGTTTAAATTTTGTGGAATTTTTTTGAATCCAATTGGAACTGCCATTTATGCAGTTTATGTAGGAACTATTGAAATACAATTCAATTTACAACACTTGCAGACAAGTCATAACATTTTTAGACCATGTAAAACATTTTTAGACAATTTACAACATCTTTAGACCATTTAGAACATTTGCAGACAATTCACAACATTTTTATACCATGTACAACATTTTTAGACTATTTACAAAATTTTTAGGCCATTTACAACATTTTCATACCAAGTGCAATATTTTTAGACAATTTACAAAATTTTTAGGCCATTTACAACATTTTTACTCCATATTGAACAGTTTTAGAACATTCACAACATTATCAGACCCTATAAAACAGTTTTAGAATATTTACAATATTTTTAGACCAATTACAACATTTTTAGACTATTATATATTTATTTATTCTTACGTTTAGACATGCTAGGTTGCATATAAGTAGAAAAAACATATCAGAAACTAAAAATGGACATATGTGCAAAAATTAGGCAAGATATAAAACTCAAACATTTTATAACATGCCTTATTTATCATAATCCCATCATATTTGTTATTATAGATTTGGAAATTTCTCTACACAAAAACAGTAAATAAAGATGCCATCAAAACATAAAAAAAACTTGTAAGCATCAATGTTAATAAAGTCTAAAGAAACAATATAGCTTTCCAAAAAATCTAGATTTACCACTACTTATTTTCATTTGCTCATTAAATGAATTTTATTATTATTTTTTTACTTACCACACTCTCTGCAAGGAAATTGTCTGCCTGATATTGAACTATGAGAATGTCTGTGATTCATTAAACTACGACCATCTGGAAATTGTTCCCCGCATATGTCACATGTTACACATTTGTTGCGATGTGAAGCCATGTGTCTCTTCAACCTTAAAAAAAAATATATTTTACATCTTGATATTGAAAAAAAAGATTGATAAAAGCTATAATTTAAATGCAAATTTATTATTACCTAGCTTTATTATGGAAAGTCTTAGCACATTTGCTACAAGTATGTTCTCGTTCCTTGGAGTGTTCCCATGAATGTTTAAGTAGAGCTTTGCGATCTCGGCACTGCTTTCCACAAAGCAGACAGGAATTTGGTGTCAACAAGTCAACATGCAATTGCTGGACGTGCCCCGAAAGACTGGATTCGTTGCTGAAGCTCTCTCCACACAACATACACCTAAAAATTTATACAATTATTTAAAATCAATTTGTTATCATACAAAAATAAACAGATGACTTTGAGTTGTGTTTACCTGTGGGGCTGGTATCTTGCATGAGCTTCTGCATGTGCAAGAAGATCCAAAGCCTCACGGAATGTTTCACCACAGACATTGCACATGTGTCCATCTTCAGTTTCTGATATGTCTTTTCTACTCATATGCAACCTAGCATGTCTAAAAGAGAGAATAAATAAATATATAATAGCTTAAAAATGTTGTAAATTGTCTAAAAATATTGTAAATTGGCAGAAAGTGTTGTAAATGGTCTAAAAATGTTGTAAATTGTCTGCAAATGTTGCGAATGATCTAAAAGTGTTATAAATGGTCTAGAAGTGTTGTAAATGGTCTAAAACTGTTGTAAATAGTCTAAAAGTGCTTTACATGGTCTAAAAATGTTTAAAAATCTTGTAAATCATGTAAAAATGTTGTATATTGTGTAAAAATGTTGTAAAATGTCTAAAAATAATGTTGTAAATGTTGTAAAGATTTTGTAAATGATCTAAAAGTGTTTTACTTGGCCTAAAAATGTTGTGAATTGTGTGCAAATATTGTAAATGGTCTAAAAATGTTGTAAATTGTCTGCAAATGTTGCAAATGATCTAAAAGTGTTGTAAATGGTCTAGAAGTGTTGTAAATGATCTAAAAGTGAATGTAAATGATCTAAAAGTGCTTTATATGGTCTAAAAATGTTGTAAATTGTATAAAAATGCTGTAAATCGTGTAAAAATGTTGTAAATTGTGTAAAAATGTTGTAAAATGTCTAAAAAATTGTACAATGTATGAGAATGTTGTAAATGGTGTAAAGATTTTGTAAATGATCTAAAAGTGTTTTACTTGGTCTAAAAATGTTGTGAATTGTCTGCAAATATTGTAAATGGTCTAAAAATGTTGTGAATTCTCTGCAAATGTTGTAAATTGTCTAAAAATGTTCTATATGGTATGAAATTTTTGTAAAAGGTCTGAAAATATTATAAACTGTCTGAAAATGTTGTAAATTATTTTGTTAACGATAAAATTTAACTATACTCTACCTCTTTAACAAATCAACTCGATGAAATGACATTCCACACGTATTGCAATAATAGTCCCCAAATTTGCTGTCCGTGTCTGATAAATCTGACTCATCATCTAAAATTTTAAAAACATTTGTATTTATATATATATATGTATATATATATATATATATGTCATTTGAGAAGTTAATCTCTTACCATTTTCTGGTTCGTATTCTGAATTACTGGATTGAATTTGATGTTTATTTCTGGTGTGTTCTCGCAAAACAGCAGCATCCCAAAACATTTCACCACAAGTTTCACATTCAAATGGTGAATCACCTCCATGAATCTATGATAAATAAAATAAATGTTGCTTGAAACAAAAGAATTGAATGTATATATTAAAATTGCAATAGTATATGAGTATATAATTCAAAAATATTAAAATTAAATTACTTACCCTTGCATGAGATGCCAATGCTTTCTCACGAGCAAAACCTACCCCACAGTGTTGGCAAACAAATGGTTTTCTAGGGTCAGTTACTGGAAACCTTAAAATACATAACAAAAACAATGATTCATCACAACTTCTATATAAAAAAACATGCAGATTATGGTGTTATCTTTTATTTATCCCCTTACCTAGGTTCTAATGACATTGAATGTGCATAATGCTGCTCAGCAGCTTCAGTTAAAATTCTCATATCCTCATCCATCTCTTCGTAAACAGCCTGGTCTTGTTTTCTTCTGCGACTAATACCAGAAGAATTGCCACTCATCTGGTTATGTTTGTTTGATGATCTCTTACGTTTTGGAACCTCATGGGTTGGAGACATAAAATTGTCACCTTGAGAAAAAAAAACATTATTATTATAAATAATATTTGTTATTGTTATTGGTTTTAGCATTCAATTACAAACCTAAGTCATTAAGATTATTAGCAATCATATTTTGGTCCTCCTCATGATCATCTTCAGTTGGTGCATAAGCATGACTTTTCAAATGACTCATTAGCTCATTTTTATTAGTGTACCTAAAAATTATTAACTTATACAGTAACTTTATAAGCAGATGTCTAAAAAAAATTATTAATTACCTTGCTCCACATAAATTGCAACAATGAGGTCTGTCATTTTGATGAGCAATCATGTGGTTCATCAAATTTGCTTTTTTGCGAAAACGTCTTGAGCAAAAATCACAGGGATGCGGCCTGAATATAATTTAAACACAGTTAGTGATTGACATAAACAATACTGACTGTTTATTTAAATAAATAAGTTACCTAGAGGCTGAATATTCATCTTGATCCGTTGGTAAACTTATATCAATATCATCCTCAGGCTGTTCTGTTGACGCCAATTGGTCTACTACAATTTCAACTCTAAAAAAACATAGTATAATCCAATTAATACCTTTGGAAGTTATAACAGAATATAAGAGTAATTAAATTTACCTATCCTGTCCAGTTTCTTCAACCCACTCATCAGTAATAACTTCCTCAGTGACCTGACACTCAAAATACTGTTGATCATTCTGTCCATTCGACACATCAGCCTCATTCTGCATCTCATCATTAACCTGCTCTTCAATTATATCATTCGACATAACACCAACATCTTGTGCCATGTATATAAGATTCTCTGCAGCCATTTGGTCTAAAGACTGTGATATGCTATGAGGAAGCATCTCTCCTCCAACCTGGATAAAAAGTTACAATTAAAATAATATAAATATGTGAATTATTTATTTATTTATTATGTGAATTCTTACAATGTAATGCTGATCGGGATGTGTTGATTGAATCATCTCCTCCATAGCTATAACTTCTTCCTGTACGACTTCATCATTCACAATTTCCTCTGTACAAACAGTCTCGTGTTGAGGGCTCTGGTCAGAGCTCCAATGAGACACAACCACTGGTCTGCCGCCCGTGGCTACACTCTCATTCCAAGCCTCCATGCGAAAAGCCACTTCTTCGTCATCCATTCTCTTGGGGGTTGGTTAATGTCAGATCATATGATGAACTGAAAATAATAAAAATAATTGAATTATGCAGAAAAAGATGATAATATAAAATTGATATAAAGTTATTTCATAAAGCTAGACTCTTAATATTTAAATATATCAATCTTGAAAACTTTTTTATAAACAAGTTAAAGACCAAATAACATTTTGTCTTGAATAAATTATATAATCAATTAAGTCAATGATCATTCAAGTAAAATGAATAATATCAAAATTAAAAGCAAATAAAATTTTTGCCTCTGAACTAAAAAGCCCTTTAGTTTTAATATATCATACTTAAATATGTATACTATTACAACAAATACTAAACTTAATAAGTTTTCTGGCAAATATTTAAGATATTTAATAAAAATGTTGATTGCAAATGCATGTAAAGAGTACAATTTGTACTTTCTTTAAAAAAAGGTCTGGTTATTCTACATAGTAGAAATATTAATATGTTATACTTAAATATGTCTAATACAACAACAAATACTAAACTTGATATGTTTTCTAGCATATATTTTATATGCATATTTAAAAATGTATAATAATCGATAGCATATATATGTAAGTGTTTAAATTTAATGCTTAAAAATAGTTGTGATTGTTCTACGAAGTTCAAATTTTAACATGTTACACTTAAATATGTATACTGTAACAGTAAACACTAAAAATGATATATTTTCTTGGAAATATTTGAGATATTTAGTATTTTATAAGAAAAATGTCTATATAATACAAGTAAACATATAGAAGTATGAAAATTAAAAGCACAACAAGAAGTATGCAAGTTCTTTATGACCGAATGAACTTTTTGTTCGTTAACAATTCAAAAGCCGCTTAATGTATTTTTTACTGCTATAACCTAAATCAAATTATATCAACTCAATAATTCTTGGAATTATTTGAGATATTTAGTATTTTATAAGAAAAGTCTCTATATAATACAAGTAAACATATAGAAGTATGAATATTAAAAGCACAACAAGAAGTATGCAAGTTCTTTGAATCAAGAATTAATTTTTTGCACGTTAACAATTTAAAAGCCCGCTTAATGTATTTTTTACTACTATAACCTAAACTAAATTCTATCAAAATTATAATTCTATAAAAATGTCAACTTTAAAAACAAAGTTGACACTGAAGCATTTTTAGGCCAAACAGAAGGTTTGTCCCTTAGCAACTCAAAAGCACCCTTAATAATAATTTTATTACTATAACCTAAACTAAATTTTAAAAGTTTCTTTTTTGCAACCTCAATTTCAACATGAAAAAGTCCATTTAAAACGCGTTACAAGAAATTTTAGTACTAAAATCCAATAAATTAAAATGAAGTTACTTTTGCCTCCTTTCAAGACAAAAGCGTCCTTAATTTATTTATTTCCAATCATAACCTAAACTGAATTTTAACAATTTTCACACAAAACCTTGATTCCGACATCAAAAAATCCATTTGTGACTCGTTAAAACCAATTTTAATATCAAAATCCACTGGAAAGGTTTGAAAATGAATAAAAACTATTAATTATATCTAAGAAGCGTCATGTCGGCCATTTCTCTTCGACAGAACACAAACAATACTTGACATATGAGGTTATGATTTAGAAAATGAGGTTATCATTTAAAATGTAAACTTTGGACAACATTTACATTAACAAATAAACAAAAGCAACACTAAATTATATAATGCTTGTATTTTCCATTAATCGATGCGCTTAATTCGCGCCCGTACACTAGGCCACTTTTGACATGTCCGTATTTTAACATAACAACAAATTCATGTATTTATTTCATAAGAGGTTAAGATTAAATGAGGTTAGACTTACTACTTAATTAAAATTTAACACCATTTAACAACAAATTTAATGAAATTCTTAATAAAACTATAAAATTTCGATTAGTTTCGACGTCATGTAACAGAAGCGTTTGCGTTTGTCTTGTACGCCATACTGAATGAAGGTTAGAAACTAAATAGGTTACTGGGCATATAATAAACATTTAAACACAATAATAAACTGTTTAAATGTGTTTTAAAGCATTTTTAATGCTAAATTTAATATTTAATGGCTAAATAATAATATTAGTGCAAGAAGGAGCAATTAATTATTTTATTGAAAGAAACAAAACTTAAGGCGGATATACACGTATCATGACTGGATTGAAATAAGTCACGAATATAGGATATTTAAATAAATATATATCTTAGATAAATCAATTAAAAACACTATACAAATTAACACGTTGATGTAAATAAATCATTAAAACATAAAACAATAATATAATTTATTATTTATTTAAGTAATAAATGACATTATCACTTTTTTTGAATACAAATTGACAGAACATACATAAGCTGTATGTCTGCCTTAATACTGACGTGAAGTTAGCTGCATATGCGCCAACTGTCAAGGTGGTTAAAATAAAGCGCGTTTTTCAAAGTGAGATTAAAGCCTATATTATTGATTATTCAATAAAATTCCTTCATTTAATTTGTGATATATAATATTTAATACATGTATAATCAATATTTTAAAATAATATAATGTATTTTAATACGTATTTAATATAATTTAAATTAAATTGCAATTATTAAGAATAATGATAATATAATTTGGCAGATACTTTAATTTTTTGCTAATTTAAGCTTTTGTTTCCCATTATTTGTTTAATAACAGTTTGTTCCATTAAATATCAATTAAATAATGTGAAAATTAATAGATAATTATTATAATATATTATATATTAACAATGTATATAAAATACATTTTGAAATTTAAAAATATATTTACTTTCTAAATATAAATTTATATTATAAATATTATATAAAAAGTTTATGTTATAAATATTCAAATATAAATAAACTATTTAAATAGTTGTAGGTAAATTAAATTATCAATACTTATAGATAATAAAAATTTTCATTAATAATATTGATAATTTTTTTAAATAAAGAATATGGAATATATAATATAAATTATGCCAAGCCATTGTTAAACCTAAATTTAGGTTTGTTATTTAGAAATGTTAATTGCTATTAATTATTTATGAATTTTAGGCATAAAAAATATATAATATAAAAAAAATTATTAAAATAATAAAAAAATAAAATATTTCATTAATAATATTGATATTTTTTTTAAATAAAGAATATGAAATATATAATATAAATTAAGCCAAGCCCTTGTTAAACCTAAATTCAGGTTTGTTATTTAGAAATGTTAATTGATATTAATTATTTATGAATTTTTGGCATCAAAAATATATAATATAAAAAAAAATTATTAAAATAATAAAAAAAATAAAATATTTCATTAAGAATATTGATAATTTTTTTAAATAAATAATATGAAATATATAATATAAATTAAGCCAAGCCCTTGTTAAACCTAAATTTAGGTTTGTTGTTTAGAAATGTTAATTGCTATTAATTATTTATGAATTTTTGGCATAAAAAATATATAATATAAATTTTTTTTTAAAATAATAAAAAAATAAAATATTTCATTAATAATATTGATAATTTTTTTAAATAAAGAATATGAAATATATAATATAAATTAAGCCAAGCCCTTGTTAAATCTAAATTTAGGTTTGTTATTTAGAAATGTTAATTGCTATTAATTATTTATGAATTTTTGGCTTCAAAAATATAGAATATAAAAAAAGTTATAGTTCAGTTATATTTTATATCTTATAAATGACTAGTATTGTAAAAAAATCAATCTAATAAAATTTTTAATAAATAAAATATATATTTAAAAATGTTTATAAACCCTGTTCTAAAAACAAAAAAATGACAAATGAATAAAAAATGTCAATTTTTGGAAGTGATTTGTATCGATTTTTAATGCACCAGTATGTTTATAGTATTTATATTTCTTGTCTACATTTTCCAGGTAAAATATAACTATTTTTTTTACTTTTAAATAGTGACCCAACTTTAAATAATTGTATAATATTTAACTTTAAAATTAATATCCAATCTGCAATTATTTAAACTAGTTGCAGTATGGGTTCAGCCATTTTTGAGAAAACGCTGGCAAAATATCAAAATCCAGTAAATCACATACACATGCTTTTTTCAATTTTGATGCCAAACGATTCAGGAGGACTTGAAACATAAAATTCATATTAAACATAAATTTTTCATTCAAAACATTGTCTTTTATTGAATTTAGATGATTTCCGGAGGTTCAATTATGAGCGCCATTTGGACAGCTGCTGCCAAACAGCCCTTTCTCTATTTTTTAAATGATCTCATAATGGTAAAAGTAGAAGATGCCGAGGTATGGATAAAACTTTTCTATAAAAAATATAAATAGCCAACAATTCCAAAATCAATCCAACATCCACCAAGTTGTTCCAATCCAGTAGATTGTGATAATTTCAATCTTTGGTTGTAAATAAAGAGAAACTTTTCATAGGATTACTATTTTTTTTTCAGTTAGTTAGTGAGCCATACTTGATTCAAAACATAGCATACGTTTTCATATTTCTTGACGTAGTTGTGTTCATTTGGTGTTTTTTTGGATATTACGCTGCCATCAAGGAATGTGTTAAATCCATCAATGTAGTAAGAAAAATGACTTTTAAAATTAGTATATCAAATAATTTAATTATTAATTAACGTATTTGTATAAATTCTTCCTAGTTTTCCGTCGTCTTCATCATCCTCATGGTTTTTGAGATAATAACAGTAATAGTTCTGATGCTGGGCACAAACAAGGTAAATTGATTAATTTCGCTTTATATACAGTTTGTTACAGAACGTTATAATAATTTTAAAATTATACTAAAATGCAAGACTTAATCAATAAGAATTCAGATTTAGCTCTTTTGCAAAATAGCAAAATAGCAATCTTCGCCATGTTAACCGAACCTAACAAAACGCTTTGTCATACATTTTTGCTTAGGCTTGGATGCGCATAGTAAGCGTTACCTCAATATTTTTAGTGCAATTGTAAGTAAAATTTTTGCTAATTATTCCAATTGCGGTGTCAAACGATTCAGAATTACTTCAACATCGAACTAGCAAAATAGCATTTAAATTTCTCCTTCATTAAGGTAAATAGACTATCGCCATTTAGTGACTCTTATTATCATTTTCAGGAAGAAAATATGTTCCCGAAAGTTTTAAAAACAGTCGGTGGTCATTACAAAAATTTGAGAAATCAATCACTCTATACAGACCTTCCAAAAGTTACAGAATTTTATGATATATTTATGAAAGGTACAACTTACTAAAAACTGATTATATATGTAATGAACTACGATTATTATTTAATTGTGCTGCAGATTATCAATGTTGCGGATTAAATAATTTTGAGGAATTCAAGAACTCATCGTCTACAGAAGTCGAATGGATTCCTCAGGCTTGCTGCAAACCACACTTCAACTGCTCCGGAGGATATAATGGAGAAAATTCGAACAAATTCATTGTAAGCGCAGAAGATAATTGACATACTTCAAATAAATAGCAATTTCAGACCATCTACAACAATTAGAGCCAATGTGCACAATTTTCAAACAAACTACAATATTTTTAAGCCAACTAGAACATTTTCAATTAATCAACATTATCAGACCTTATACAACATTTACATTTAACAAAAAAGAATTTACAACAAAACAATTTCAATTAATTTATTTTCAGAAAATTTGCAACATTTTTATACCTTCTGCAACATTTTTAAACAAACTGCAATACATCCAAAAAACCTACAATATTTTCAGTCTTTCTATTTTCTCCAATATTTTCAGACCTCATACAACATTTCAAGACAATTTACAACAACTTAGTACAATTTAAGTGTTTAGACAAGGTGCAACACTCTCAGAAATTTTGCAACATTTTCGGACAATTTTCAACCTCTTCAGGAAATTTATAACATGTAACAATTCAGACAATTAATAACAGACAACATTTTCAGATAATTTATAATTTTATCAGACTAATAACAACATTTTTCAATAATTCTCGGCATTTCATAGCGGTTAGCGACATTTTAAGACAATCTACAATATTTTCAGGTAACATATGCTCAAACAATTTACAATATTTTCAGTCAACTCTCACTCTGTCTCTTTCCATTAACACCCCAGAAGTTTTACTTCGATTTTTTACCCTTCCTCAGGGTTGCGGGTTAGTGGTAGAAGAAATGCTGAGCGAGCACAAGAACATGCTGATTACCATTGGAGTCGGAGCGGTTGTTTTTCAAATTATCTTGCTATGCATCGGATACTGTGTTTTCTGTTTCACGAAAGACGAGTTAGTTGAAAGATGATTTAAACTATAACCCCGTTAAGACGATTTATACGACCGTAATACAATTTTTTGCAAAATACGCTACTTTATTCCGGTCCCTGCACTTGGAAGTACATTATCCTTATCCCACAGTAAACCCTTTCACGCACAACACAGGTTTTTGGTACGGATCCTGAAAAATCGTCTTAATGGTGTTTAATGTTTTCATTCAATATCATATTAATATTTTTATTTAAAAAGTCGCTGTTTGTGTGAAACCGGGCAAGAGAAAAAATCTTTGTCCATCATTACTTTCTTTAAGAGGAAATCGCAGGCTTTGGGTTGCACGAATAGAAGTTGCGCTGGTTCGGACCCATTTGCGATGGCAAAAGGTATTGTTAATGAAGAAAAATAACCAACTAGTTATAAGTGGCATTCGGTCTTTAGTTTGTCAACTCTTTAGAAAATAATTTAGCTATAATATTTAAACCCATCAGAATTTTCCACGCGCTTTTCTTAAATTGCTATTGAAACTGGAACATTTACATGTTTTCTTTAGTATCTAACAAACGAGACTATAAAACATCACACAGAAGGCAATCTTTGCAAAATAAACCTGGATCAAATGCAAACCATAAAATGATATATAAAAGTTCGAGAACTCATGGAGGCAGCTCTTACGGCCATGGCGAGGTAATCAATTACATAATAAAATAATTTCATTTAT